AAATGAAGAGTCAGATGCTTAACCAACTAAGCCACCCAGCTACCCTAGAGAAAGAATATTTAAATGACTTAAAAATAGACCATTTTCATGCTTTTTTTTCCAATATCTTGCTTTTTAAATTGTAGTGAGCACTTGTCATGAGATCTATCCCCTTAACAGATATGAAGTGTGCAATACAGTATTGTCATCCATAGGTACAGTGTTGTGTGTCAGATCTCTAGAACTCACTCATCTTGCATAACTAAAATTTCATACATGTTGATTAGTGGCTCCCTGTTTTCCCTCCCTGCTGGCGACCACCATTCTAGTCTTCTGTGAGTTTGATCATTTTAGATTCCTCGTATAGGTGGAATCATGTGGTATTTGAACTTCTATGGATAACCTATTTCATTAGCCTAATGTCTTCAAGGTTCATCCATGTTGCATATTGCAGAATTTCTTTTTTTAAGGCTAAGTGATATTCCACTGTGTGTATATATCCTATTTTAGCCATTTATCTGTCAGTGCTTGCTGTTTACACAAGCTGGCTATTGTGAATAGCACTAAAATGAGCATGGGATTACTAACATCTCTTCAAGTTCCTGATTTCAGTACTTTTGGGTAAATACTCAGAAGTGAGACTTTGGGGTCATTTGGTACTTCTGTTTTTAATTTTTTGAGGAATCTCCAAACTTTTCCTTCACAGCTATAACATTTTTCATTCCCACCAATTGTATACAGGTTCCAATTTTGCCATATCCTCACCAATACTTGTTGCCTTTTTTTTTTTTTATAATGGCCACCCTAACAGGTATGGAGTGTTATTTTATTGTGGTTTTAATTTGCATTTCCTTCATGATTAGTGACATTGAACAGCTTTTCATAAACTTGTTGGCCATTTGTATACCTTTTTGGAGAAGTGTGTGTTCAGATCTTTAGCCAATTTATTAACTGGATTACTAGGTGTTTTTGTTCTTGAGTTGTAGGAGTTTCTTACATATTTTGGAAATTAATCCTTTATCAAATATATAGTTTGCAAATATTCTCTCCCATTCTGTAGGTTGGCTTTTCACTATGGTGATTGTTTCTTTTGTTGTGCAAAACTTTTTAGTTGGTGTAGTCCCTTGCCTAGTTTTGCTTTTGTTGCCTGTGCTTTGGTGTCATATCCATGAAATAAATCATTGCCAAAACCAATGTCTGAAGCTTTTTCAAATATTTAAGTCTTTAATACATTTAGAGTTGATTTTTGTGTATGGTATGAGATAAAGGTCCACTTTCATTCTTGTGCATGTGGACATTCAGTTTTCCTAGGACTATTTGTTGAAGAGACTTTTCCCAATTGTGTATTCCTGGCACCATTGTCAAAGATAAGTTGGTCATATATACATAGATTGATTTCTGGGCTCTCTATTCTATTTCATTGGTCTATGTATCTCTTTTTATGCCAATATCATACTGTTTTAATTTAAAAAGACCCCAAATACCCAAAACAATCTTGAAAAAGAAGCACAAAGCTAATCATACTTCCTGATTACAAAATTATGTATTATAAAGCTGAAGTATTTTCTAATATCTTAAAGCATAACTTTACTTTTATAAAAAATTGTTGTCATGAGTTCCAGTTAACACTGGGACAGTGGAAGCTACCTAAATCCTAATCTCTCCACATGTCCTCACCCCAAAACCTGTTGATTCAAAAAAGGAGCACAAGTAAACTGAAGATATTCTTTTATCATTTGTAGGAGACCAAGATACCACACACCTCAAATTATCTATAAGCAGAAGAATAAACAGTAAATTTCAGAGTGCAAGACCTCTCTAAAGAAGAGCCTTAGAATCTCTGGAAAAGAGGAGGGGGGATTAGGAGGTGTAGAAGCACAATAGCCTTGCTTAGCTTCTGGAGGAAAAAGAGATAAAATGAGCATTTGAGATGTCCCTATGATACCTGGAGGTTAAGAGAAAGAAGGAAGGTAGGGGGTGGGAGGTGAATAGGGAATTGAATATCCTGCAGAAATGAAAGAAAACCAAAGATATACCAATGTTTTCCCGTAACCCCAGTAAGTCAGCATCATCTGTTACTTAAAGGGAACTTCAATATGCCAAAAGAAGGCACTACGTTCAAATTGTGCATGAAATGCCTAACAGTAGGAAAAATCATAAATAATAATAAATACAAAGTGTCTAAGGGAGAACATATTGAAATAAAAATTTAGTGGACTCATTTAATTTCAAAGAAGATTTAAATGAGGTAAAGACATCAGAAGGGTCAAAGAAAAAGTGGCTGAAGTGGAAGACAAGCAGAGGAGATCTGACATAATTGGAATCTCTAAAGGAGAAAAACAAAATATTTGAACTAACGAAGTATTCAAAGCTATAATCCAAGAAAAATTTCCAGAAATAAGAGAAAACCTAAATCTACATATCAAAAAAGCCCACTGTGTCCCTGGGAAAATTGACTCAGAATGCTTAAACCGAAGATAATAGTAAAACCATTAGATAAAATCAAAGAGAAATTTCTCAGGATCTCAAGCAAAAAGGACAAAATATGTAATGGCTAAGAAAATTAATTTGCCCTCAAACTTCTCAAGAGTAGCTTATAAAGCAGGGCAAGAGTGGAGCAGCATTTTCAAGAAACTCAAGGATAGAGAGTATGAGTCAAAGGTGTTATTATCTAGCTGTCCTTCATATCAACGCTATAGAAAAACAGTTTAAAGCATGTGAGAACTTAAGGAATCCTGTGCCCCATGAGTCCTTCCTAAAGACTCTACTAGAGCAGTGGTTCTTAAAGTGTGGTTCCCAGACCAGCAACATCAGAATTACCTGAAGACTTAGAAATGCATATTCTCAGGCCCACCCCAGGACTGCTGAATCAGAGGCTTCAGGGTGAGGTACATCAATTTGTATTTTATCAGGTCCTGCAGGTCATTATGGTACATGGTCCCCAAGCGAATGAACTTCCTCCAGCCAAGAGATGACTGAGAACACTTTGGCAGAGGACTGATAGCAAACATTTAATATACTAATTATAGGTGTAAGTCTAAGACATGGGTGGAGACATGGTTGGAATAACAGCGGATAAAGCATCATATATATTGCCAAAATAGAAAGAACACAACTAAAAAATGAGAGAATAGGGGCACCTGGCTGGCCCAATGGTTAAGCCTCTGCCTCTGGCTCAGGTCGTGATCCCAAGGTCCTGGGATCAAGTCCCGTGTCAGGTTCCCCACAGAGAGCCTTCTTTTCTCTCTGCCTATGTCTCTGCCTCTCTCTGTGTGCCTCCCATGAAAAGATAAATAAAATCTTTAAAAAGAAAGAGAGAGAATAAAAGAAAGGCATTTCTGGGGGGGAAAGCAGTGTGGTTTTCTGGAAAATGAATGAATGAACGGTAAAAGTAGAATAAGACATTAGTTGTTGTATAGGTATTAGGTGGAATTCAGAGGTTACTATTTTTAAAAAAGATGTATTTATTTTATTTGGGGTGGAGAGGGGCTGAAGAAGAGGGAGAGAGAGAGAATCTCAAAGCAGATTCCCTGCTGAGTGGGGTACCCAGTGCAGGGCTGGATCTTATGGCCCTGAGATCATGACTTGAGCCGAAATCAAGAGTTGAATGCTTAACCAACTGAACCACCCAGGTGCCCCAGAGAATATCTGAGAAACCTGACAAACAAGATTGTCAGAGATTAAGGAAGAAAAAAGGAAAGATTAAGGGCATCATAAAAGACATAATGACAAAGGTAACCAGAATAACTCAATTAAATGCAATACATGATCCTGTGGCAAAAACAATTGCTGAGAGAACGTTGTTGATACAATTGATGAAATTGGAATGTGGAACATAGATTAACATATTGCATCAATATTAAACTGAGTTTGATGACTGTGATGTGAATATTCAAGAGTCTCTTCTTGTTCTTAGAGAATACATGCTGACTATAGGGTAAAGTGATATGATACATGTAACCCATTCTCAGATAGTTTAGAAAAAGTGATACACATTTGAGAGAGGTAAATATGGCAAAATGTTAAAACTTGGTAAGTCTATAAAGGATACATAGTTTTTTTGTACTATACTTGCAAATTTAATGTAAATTTAAAATTATTCCAAAATAAAAAGTTTTAAAAAAGTATATGTCAGTCAGTCCTTCCTAACTGTTTAAGTTATCCCAGTTGTCTGTTTTGTAGGTTTATTGTATGTATTTGAATGGAACAACCTTTCATTTCTTTAAAATATCCTTTAAAATATCCAGACCTTGCTAATATGTATCTGTCATCTCAATAAATTTGAATTGAGTGAATTTTAATAGAACAAGGCATACAGTGATGACTAAAGTTGTCATCATCAATCTTGCTAAAAATTTTTAGATATGAGTACATTTTGGGGGGTGCCCAGATGGCTCAGTCAGTTAAGCATCCAACTCTTGATTTTGGCCCAGTTTGTGATTTCAGGGTCATGAGTTGGAGTGCCATGTTGGTGGGCTTCACGCTGGGCATAGAGCCTACTTAAGATTCTCTCTCTCCGTCTCTCTCTGCCCTTCCCCCTACTTCCACTTGGACATGCTATCTCTCTCTCAAAAAGTACATTTTGATACCAAAATTTTAAAGATTATAACAGCTTTATAATTTTCTTAAAGTACTTAAAAATGATTACTATTTATGTATGTGGTATGCTTGAAGCTAAAAGAGGTAAAAATTCATTTGATTATTCACATTTTTTTATCATAACTCTGATCATTTGCTATAAACCTCATGTAGACAAAGCAGAAAAGTTTTGCATTACATACTTAAGGTTTGTACTTTGCATTGCTTAGTCCAAGAAAAATATCTAGCAAATATGTCAAGTTATTTTTTTAAGTTATTTTTTAAATACACAAAAACTCAGAGTATTAATGTGAATTACCTTAGGGTGGAAATAGTAAAGATAAGTACAAGTGGTATGTCCTTCCATTAAAAAATTCATTCATACCAGCTTTAACTCAGTGTTAAAAAATCATAGTGAAGTACTTTGTTTTTTCCTTTTGAAGATATGGACGTAATGAGGCCCTTAATAAATGAACAGAATTTTGATGGGACATCAGATGAAGAGCATGAGCAAGAGCTCCTTCCTGTTCAGAAGCATTACCAGCTTGACAATCAAGAGGGTATTTCGTAAGTGTTATGAGTTATCTGTCTCCTTTTCATTTAGAATATGTTTTGTGCTCTTCTATAGGTAAAACACTTTTCTAGATACTACAGAAGATCTGCAGATGAGTAAGATATTGTCCCTACCCTCAAGGTATTTATAGTCTATTTGAAAAAGAAGAAAAACATCTAAAATACAGGGTAGCATGTGGGAATTACTGCAATGATGGTACACATCCTATGCCAGGGGCCTTGCAAGAAGGGAGATCTGATTGAAAGGAATAGAAATTTTAAGAGCAGCGGCTTCTGAAATGGTTAGGAATTAGATGGTGGGAGGTATTTAACACTCCTTTATGCTGAGTGAATGTTGTAAAACAAAGTCATGGCAGTGGAAAGGCAGTGGAAACTTGCAGGATGTTTTTTGTTACTTTATCGTCATTAATAGAGTTGAATAAGTTTTTACCGTAATAGTAACTTAGCCATTAAACAATGTTACATTTGTTTGATCAGAAAAGAATAATATACAGTAAAAAAAAATTAGGCAAGCATGTTTGTTTCATAAGTTTAAAATTTGAGCTATTCTTCCTAGTTTAATTTACTTTTTCTTTGTCAAGAGACTTTCTTCAAATGCCTCTTGGAAACCGGTGAAATTCCTTAGGGAATACACGATGTCTAAATGCTAATTAGTATTTACCTTACCTGATGATACACTTGTTTTAAAACTTATGAGCTTTTTCTTTTAATTAACTTCCTGTTAGGTTGATAGTCATAGATCAAATATGTTTAGTACCATGATTACATAGACAGTGTCAATAAATTGCTCTGTCTTATCAGCCTAGCTGTATGTAATCTTCAAAATAATTCTGAATGTCGTAATAGCAAAGAATCTTAAGAGACAATTACCTTTTCTGTGTTTCTTTAATATGTACAAAAATACTTTCCTTTAAGTATCTCATTTAATCTCTATAATAATCCTCTGTATTCTGCTTTTTAAATGACAAAGGTAGGACTTGAACCAAATCTGACTTCTGGCCTATTCAATTTCTGGTTGAGTGGAAATGTTATTTGATTCCTTGCCTAGATTGATTTTTAGTTCTCTTTTAATGCTAAATCCATGATCACATGATTTTATTAGCTTTTTTCCTATAATGTTTAAATCTAACAACTTTTACTTTTCAGATTTGTGCAAACTCTTATGCATCTTCTTAAAGGAAATATTGGAACTGGCCTTTTAGGGCTTCCACTGGCAATAAAAAATGCAGGCATAGTGGTAAGACTTATCTTTGTGTACTCTAGCTAAATTACAGTTATCAGTCTTAATTACAGCAAAAATTACAGGCTAACCTCTGGCCTAGTCATGTATAACCTGACCAGGTGACAATGAAATTGTTCTGGTAAGATTGTGTGAACAATGATAGTAATATTTAACAAAAAATGAGAATTAATTACTCTTTTCATTCTGTTTAATTACTTTTTTGTAGTATTTGAAAGAAAAATCTTAAAATAGTATTTGATTTTTCCAAGTGTGGTTATATCCTATTATTCTTTTGGATTTTCAGGGATGTAGGCAAAGTAGTCATATCAACAAATATGTTTATAGAGTAGATTATTTATATTGGTGAAATTTTACAGTTTTTTAGATTCAGAATAAAATATGTGGTGTTCAGATTTAAAGCGTAATCATTAAGAAAAGGAATAACAATGTCTTTTGAAAACAAATGTACAAAGTGTTGTTAGAACTAATTATTGTCTTTACAAAGAATCTTGATAAGGGAGAATTTACTTATGAAGTAATAAAATTATATTTAATCATTTTTTAGAGGTTTAAAACCTTACTAGTTTTCTAAGAACAGTTTTAACTATCATCTTTCTCTGCATTTAACTTGTCCACCCAAATTAATTAGGGAAATTTAAACATTTTGGTTATAAAAATACATTTTGGCAATATTTTGTTGGGGACTCAATAACCCAGGCATTATTTTAGTTTTAGTAAACGAATACCTGAAATTTTTTATGTACCGCTTTTTAAAAAAATTTTATTCATGAGAAACACAGAGAGAGAGACAGAGACACAGGCAGAGGGAGAAGTAGGCTCCCTGTGGGGAGCCTGATGTGGGACTTGATCCAGGACCTCGGAATCACAACCAGAGCCGAAGGCAGATGCTTAACTACTGAGCCACCCAGGTGTCTCTATGTAGCACTTTTATAATAATCTTTTCCTAGGCCTACTTCCTTATACATAGTAAGTACACAAGCACAATTCCAAATTAGTATAGTGCTTTTTAGTCATTCAGATAATGATTTATAGTTGCATTTAATTAATCATGGCTTCCACTGGCAATAAAAAAATGCATGTATAGTGGTAAGACTTACCTTTGTGTACTCTAGTTAAATTACAGTGATAGTCATAGACTTGCTGTCTGATGTTAAATGTGATGTTGTATTCTATCCTACCATATTGCATAGCTATACTCTATGTTCATAGGTTTGGCTAAGCAAACTGATGAGATGGAATCATATGTGTTTGTCTTAAGTATATTGTTGAAATTCTTTCAGTATCAAGTTTATGAATTTTCCTATATGCAACTGACTAATCATTTTGTCCAACCAAATTGATTCACACAAATGAGTAGTCCATTGTCTCATTGCTTATAAGGTAACTTAATTTTCATTAAACTTAAATATTTAACCTTCTTCTACATTTCCCCCTCTCCCCCCGCACAGCTTGGACCAATCAGCCTTGTGTTTATAGGAATTATTTCTGTTCACTGTATGCACATTTTGGTACGGTGCAGTCACTTTCTGTGTCAGAGGTAAATGAGGATTTGTTAAGTGTATTTTATTTGTTTTAAAGCTATGTATTTACAGCATCAAATAGTCTTAACTGTGCTTTGCAACTAACAATCCTATTTCCTATAATCTGTAACGTAGACAAGTCTAAAATCATGAATATGGAAAAAGATAATATTTCCTGTGATTGAAATCTGGTCTGGATATATTTACTTCTTTTAAAATATAGCCCTGTCAGTGAAATGGAATCGTTTCTTTCCACATAAATTAAAAAATCAGGAAAGACGTGGAGGGGGAGGGGGATGGAGACCACAGCACTACTTTCAGTTATAGACTAATAGTCTTCAATTTGTTAGGAATTCATTTTAGGGTATGGTGCCTTTGGTGTTATTGCTGATAGGTGGGCTGATGAATAGTCAATAAAATCATATTCTTTTATTTCTTTGTTTCAGTTTCATGAAATGTTTCTACAGCACAGTGGACTATTTAAAAAATAAATATCACCTATTCTAGTAAACTAATATTCTAATCCTAACACTTTATGTTATTGTTAAATGTTCTTAAAACTTTGGGCAAGTCATTTATGATCTTTAAATAACAATGATACTTGAAAGAAAATGTGGGAAAGAGAACAAGGGAAATAATGCCTATCTCTTGGGGCTGAGTATTAAGTAAAATAGCTTATATGTAAATATGTTATAAAGCTGTGTGCAGATGTGTAAAATAATGCTCTTCCAAGAATGAATAATTTAGGCATGAACAATGTAGGTAATGTTTTTAGGCAATTTAAATATGTAAATCAGTGAAACACAAATATTGCATTAGATGACTTCTATAAATATGTAAACTTTAATAGTAGATGGAAACTAATATTTGGGTAAAAAGAACAGATTTAAAATTTCATGAGATATATCTTAGCCTATGCAGATCTTGAAATTTCAAAAACTCTTCTGTCAGTGCATAGCCTGGCATTTATTAATTCCTATTTATTTGATGTTCTTTTCAAGCATTGGATTTATGAACCAACCTAAAATTTTCCTCTTTCATATGCATGTATGTCCTTAAATTACAGGTTTAAAAAGTCAACATTAGGTTACAGTGACACTGTGAGTTTTGCTATGGAAGTAAGTCCTTGGAGTTGTCTTCAGAGGCAGGCAGCATGGGGACGGTAAGCTTTTGCTATGTTAATTAAAATCTGCTTACAGAAATTATATTATTTTTTAAGAATTTTAATTTAATAAAATACATGAGTAGAAGTATGATAAAGCTGGGGGAATAAACATAATCTTTAGAGATATATATAGACTATATATACTTAAATATAAAATATTAAATATTTAAATTTTATATTTAAATATGTATATATATATATATATACACACATACACATATAGACTTGGGTTCAAATCTCAACTCTACCATTTTTCAGTTTTATGACCTAAGTCAAATGATTTATCATTTTGTTTTAGTTTTCTCACCATCAAATGATTTCATGGTGATACTTATTTTACCAGATTACTATAGTAGTTTAAATAAAATTATATTTATAAAGCATCTGGCTAACTTGTGACATAATTGTGTTAATATTTTTTTAAGGAAAGTAGAAAAAAGCAAGAAAAATGTTTTAGTCTCATTATTTTAGATAAAATTGTGGTGTTTAGCTACACATAGGATGTATGAAGTGTGTATTTTAGCACAATTTCATTTTACTAACTTGTTTAAATGTAACTTCATCATTGGTAGACATGACTGATCAAAGTCCTGATGAAACAGGACTGGAAAAATAAGCATAGGTTGTGTCAACGAATTGCTCACTATGGTACAAGTGATATGTGCAGTGGAAATTAAAAGAAGAAAAAGAACGATGCTAGTAGAGTTTATGGTTAAATATGGCCTTCCTGGGGATTTGTAGGAAGTTAGATTTGTTTATGAGCTGCTCAGAGTTCTTGATAAGCCAAGGAGAAGAAGGAAAAAAACAACCTCATGCCCTGGGATGTGCTCCAGAACCCTGTCTTTTTCCTTCTGCTCCAGAATAGAGGTAGCTTTATCTGTTTTTCCCATCGAGAAGAATGACTTTCAGGTAGATGTGGCTGGGATGATTGTTGGTAGGATACTAAATTCTAAGGTGGATAAAAAGATCTTAAGGGAATACTTAAATGTAATTCTTCAGAGTGAAGAAACTTGAATCCATTTCAGGGTACCAAGATTATTTACAAAGGAGATCCCTGAAGAACTTTAAGAGCTATAGTTAAGGCAAGAATTAAGATAGGCAAGGACCCTTCCAATTTCAAATGAGAGAAGGAAGGTCTGTAGGTTTGTAGACCAGATTGTTTGGCAGCTTGGCATTGATGGTAAAATAAAGACTATAATGAATCAGTAGGCGCATGCTGTTGTAATCACTCATTGTCCTCTGAACAAAATAGAGTAATATGGGCTACAAATTAATAAGATGTAGGCAGATTTATAGCTAGACTACTATACCCAAACTATGCTAATCTGGTGACATCCCCTTCCCACTTCTTTTCTTTTAATTAAATATTTTATTTATTTATTCATGAGAAGACAGAGAGGGAGAGGTAGAGACACAAGGCAGAGGGAGAAGCAGGCTCCCCTGGGGGAGCCTGATGAGGGACTCGATCCTAGGACCGCGGGATCATGACCTGAGCCAAAGGCAGATGCTCAACTGCTGAGCCACCCAGGTGCCTCTCCCTACCCACTTCTGTACACTATTTCATGTATCTAGAATTTTCTTAAGTATCACATTAAAAAATAAGAATAGAGCTAAGCTCTTGGTGGGGTCTTTGGTCTTATGATTTAATCCTCTCTCATTTCGTGTTCTTATTAGTGATTTGGATAGTGGAGAACATGCTCACTCATCATATTTGCAAATGACAGGAAGCCAGGAGGGCTGGAAAAAGCCAGGAGGGCTGGAAAATACACTGGGGTAATCAGAAAAAGATCTTGAGAAGTAGGAGAGATAGGCTTAATCTGAAAGATGAAATGTTTTCATGATACCATTTTATAAGCAGATACTCAGACTGTTGAATTTCAGAAATAAATGAGAGGGAAATCTTGGCCTTTTAACTTAACAGGACATCTTTTTGTTCAGTAATTGTAGGGACATACTGATCATAAACGTGTGATCTTTGTAGAAAATAAGTACATCATTTCTTATTTTAAGGAAGTAAAAATATAAGCTATAATAAAATGTTTGAAAATAGTTTAAGAAGAAAAAATACATTGATATATCAGCAGCTCTTATTGATACTTATTTGTGGGTATCTCTTTTCAGGAGTGTGGTTGACTTTTTTCTGGTGATAACACAACTGGGATTCTGTAGTGTTTATATTGTCTTCTTAGCTGAAAATGTAAAACAAGTAAGTATTTTGTCCAGTTATTGAGATCAGTTTCTTCTAAGTCCATAGTTATGGCATCATATTTCCCCTGAGTAAGCCATGGTTGAATATGGAAATGTGCTCCTTTCTTAAAACATGTTCCTATGTAAATTTTCCTTTAGTCTCCTTTTTTTGCAAGTTGGATTTTCTGCCACTAATATTGACTTTGCTTTTCTTGCCATTGTATACCAATAATGTTTGTTCTGTCAGATATGACTCTTAGACAATTAAAATTCAGGTTTCAAAATCAGATACTCAAATGTCTTGGGAGCATGTTTTTATATTGATTTTTTTATGAATAAATATATAATGCTTTAGCCAGCAGCCTAAAAAATGAAGGAACGAAGTGGACATTAGTAAAATCCAAATAGTTATTGCTATTGTCTAAAAAGATACTATGTCCAAAAATGAGGAGTGTTCTGTAATTCTCTCCATATTATAAGGGTTTGCTTTAAAAGGAAGTGGTTTGCAGCCTTGGCAGAGACTGTCAATTTGAACAAACATGCAAAGCACTGAAATAAAAAAGCTCCCCTATCATAAACAATGCTGAAACACATTTCTTCATGCGCTTTAGCTTGTAACTAGTACATTACTCCCTGTTCTTCTTTAATCAATAACATTTAGTAGCTCTCCACATATGCACTGTGTAATAGTAGATATTTACATAACAACACATAGTACTTATAGGTATTTTAATGCAAAATGATGATGTGACTATGCTTTCTAAAGAACCTAGATGTAGATATCAGTATATCTTTGACTCTCTTTTTCAAGTATAAAGTATGCTTTGTTTTACATTTAGACCAGGAATGGCAAACTTTTTCTGAAAAGGGACAATAATAAGTATTTTCAGTTTCGCAAGCTATGTGGTCCTTTTGACTTAGCTATATAAAATAATATATAAATAAATATATATGGCAATATTTCAATAAAATTATATTTGCAAAATTAGGTGGTAGGCTGGATTTGGTGTATGGGCCATAATTTGCTACAGCCCCTAGCCTAGATTTTTAATGTTGGAAATGCTCATTGAGTCAACCCTTCTATATAAATAAGAGAGTTGATGCTTTCATTAGCATTACTCATTACAGATGATGTACTTTTGATTTATAAGTATATAATTCCACAAGTTGCATGTTCTTTGGACTATTAACTCAATCAAGAGGCTATCTGTTGTCAAGAACTGATAAGACACACCATTTACCAGTCATTTACATAGAATACAGTGGAAATGGTCCCTTTCTAGAATTATGCAACTTGGTAGTAATATATCTTTTCTAAGCTACCAACAAGCTTGATTTGAATTTATGGATAATATTAATAATGCCTTATAATATTATGTTAATAAGATGTGACATTTTTCATTTAGTCTTTACAACTACTCTGTAATACATTACAATGCTTATTTTTTGAACATGTAAACTGACTCTCACAAAGCATGAGCAGTGTGCCCTAAGTCATGTGAATTAAGCTGAGATCTAGGTCTGTGATGTAGCTGCCACCCAGTATTTTATTGTTCATCAGTGGACAGGACCTTGTCTGATTTTAGTTGTGTGTATGCATATGACATGAGTGCATACAATAAATATCTGTATAAGCTTAGGATTGGTAACTTTCTCCTGCAAAATATTATCAGTTGCTTCCAAGGTTGATTGGAAGTATTTAACTCATTTGCACATATTCTAAGAAGACCAGGTAGGAAAAGTGACTCTCTGGGAGATAAGGAGAAGGCCTGCTGTAGGTAGAATGACACAAGTCCTTTTGAGGCATGAAAAGCAACATGGAAAAAGACATTCAGACTTGGGAAAGTTGAAAGCAATGATGAACACACCTTGGGAGAACAGACAGATTATCACTAAAACAGCAGCAGATGTTCATTCCCACATTTTATAGCAGTCTCCAATAGTAGACATACTGGTCGATTATACCTTTCCAATTACTACTACTGTTAGAGTTAAAAACTGTAAGTTTATTGTGTTAATCTACATAAAATCAAAGGTGTAATATTTTATCAAATCAAAGAAGGAAGAGTTTAGTTGCCATACAGATGTGTGAATCTCTTGCTCTGTAACTGCCACAGGGTTGTTTTTGGTCCCATTAAGTCATTGTGAACAATAGGCAGGGGGAAATGGATGGGTAGTGGCTCCAATGATTCTAGTCCACCGTGGTTTATAATAGCTCCTTTCTGTTCTCTAAGAAGCTCTAGAAAATTTTAGATAGATAAAATAGTATATATGGGCATGAAGAGTGAGGAAGGGATATTATATTAACAGAGAAATATGTATAATGGTACATAAGACCATGGCTTTAGAAACAGAAGATCCAAATTCAAATTCCTACTCTCTCAGTTTTAAATCACACATTGGGCAAGATCTCCTTATCCCTGGTCAAGCCTCTGCTTCCTTACAAATGAGAATAGCAACAAATCTCCCATTGTTCCTTCTTAACTTATCCTGAGACTCAGCTGACAAAAGGTTTGTGAAAACCTTGCAAAATGTAAAGTAGTATACAAATACAGGGTGTTAAGGCTTTAATTCTGCATTTATTTTAGCTTTGCTGAAGAGCATAGTCTACCTTGGGATTTTAATCATTAGGTTACTAAATCATTGAAAACTAATAAGTAGTAGATTTTAGTAAATTTAAGCTTTAAATGGAAACAACTGAATTTAGTAATTTTATTTTATAATATTTATTTCAGTGTTTTGCATTTTGGTAAACATGTGAGATCATAGGAAGTCCTATTAGATAGCCAATATCTGTCTCTAGAGGGCACCAAAGGACTCAAATGTTTACCTGAATCTTGCTCTGGGTATGTATCTATACTTTATTTTATTTTTTAATCCTGACAATTTTAATAACCATCTTTCTGCCAAAGAATACTAAATTATTATATTTGTGATAGAATTAATTTAATATTCTCAACCATCTCACCATTCAAACCACCCCTTTTTAAAATTGGTTGTGTAACTGATTTTCTCTTGCTGGGTATCCTTGTTAGAGCTTAATTTTGATCATTATTTAATCTGATAATTGGTGGTACTTCTTGGATACAGAAGCAATTGGCTATAAATAATTTTGTAACTGGAAAAATTGAGTCAACAAAAATATGTTTTTTTTACAAACCAAGTAATGTGAATTACCAATCTTCTACTTCAAGTTATAAAATATAAAATACGAAGTTTTGTTGGTCAGTTACAAGATAAACGTGAGGTATACATTTCTTAAATGGTTCGTGGTGTAAGCTGAGAGTTCGTCAGTGCAGTATGAATTACAAGTTGCCTATCTAGCTTAAAACTAGTAAATAAATTCCTTACAGTTTCAGATGATATGTACATTTATAGTGACACTAAACATTGCTTATCATAAACTATAAGTATAAAATTAAAAGAAATGCTTGAATTGTTAATCATAGTATAATTCTGTTCTAAACTTCTGACTTGTAGACCTCTTAATATGTAACTATATTTATCGAGAGAGATGTCAGAGTAGAGGCCAGGTGGCTGCTTGGGCAGGGACCCCTTGTAGGATTGGGGTATTTTGGTCCAGTTAACATGCAGCTGTCACAAGCTAAATTCTAGTCTCACACCTGGGCTAGAATCCTAGAACTACCACTTACTGGCTTGATATTATGTAAGTTTTTTTTTAATCCTCCCTAAACCTTTCTCAACTGTAATATAAAATGAATACTACCACCCACCTCAGAGAGTTGAGGATTAGATGGGATGTTGTATATAATGTAGTTAGTTCAGTACTCAAAAAAATGCTTCCTATTATTACTAAGGATCTGGTTCTTAAGAATTGTTATATCCAGAGACAGAATCATATCATCGTGCTTGGGGTGGGGGGGGGGTACAGTGCCTGGGGGCAAATAGATTTTCACTCTTATTTTAAATTATCTGCCTTTGCTGTGAGTTTTTTAGTATATGTGCTGCCAAAGCAAGTACTCTGCTATGAGTTTTTAAGAGTGTTTTGAAAATACTCTAAAATTTCATTTCTATTTTAGTAAGTTGGATTATCTTGTTAATGGATTAAGACAATTTTTAATAATATGGAACCTAAAAATTATGTATTTCTCTTGAACACTGAATGTTGATTTATAAATGTGGCTGAATAAATTTTAAGGTAAAATTGATTTATTGAAGTTTTTTGCTCTAGCAAAAATTTATTTACATCTAACACATGGCCATGAATGAATTTAGTGGATTCTTAATAAATATTTATTGATAGTGATGATAGTTTATAAACAGTTATTTTGGGGATCCCTGGGTGGCTTAGTGGTCTGGCGCCACCTTCGGCCCATGGTGTGGTCCTGGAGACCCGGGATCGAGTCCCGCATCGGGCTCCCTGCATGGAGCCTGCTTCTCCCTCTGCCTGTGTCTCTGCTTCTCTCTCTCTCTCTCTCTCTCTCTCTCTCTCTCTCTCTCTCTATCGTAAATAAATAAATAAAATCTTAAAAAAAAATAAACAGTTGTTTTATAAAACAGTTTTAAAGTTAGACTGTGACTTCTGAATTTTATTTTGCCAACTGTACATTTCTCAGAGGTGCTTAGAGGTGCTTAGAGCTTGTTTCCTCCTCCGAAGAAAGTAAGTTGGAGTAGGATATCTGGAGTAGAATATAGTTATTCTCAGCGAATATGCATCCACTTTTGATGATCTCCAAAACAGATTGAGCCTTTTAAGGGATCATGAACACAAAGCTTCGAAATGAATTCATAAATTCATCCTCATAACTTTCTAGTGAACTTTATTTTTACAGTATATGATAAGTTATTTTGCAAAGAAGATTATCCTTAAAAAAAGATTATCCTATTTTAATTATCCTTAAATTTGATACATATATATGTTTCTAGGAAGCTAGAATATCTTGAAAAAATGTAAACATTCTTTATTGTAAAGGAATTTATCATAGAGTATACAGATAATAATTTTCTTTATTTTTTTTTTATAAGTTGATGGAAGTTTTTTTTCTCCCCCTCTTTCTTATTCTCGTGGTAATCCTATTATAGGTTCATGAAGGATTCCTGGAGAGTAAAGTGTTTCTTTTGAATAGTACCAATTCATCAAATCCATGTGAGAGAAGAAGTATTGATCTAAGGATATATATGCTTTGCTTTCTTCCATTTATAATTCTTTTGGTCTTCATTCGTGAACTAAAGAATCTATTTGTGCTGTCATTCCTTGCCAACATTTCCATGGCTGTCAGTCTTGTGATAATTTATCAGTATGTTGTTAGGGTAAGTATAACGTGTTTTTAACTGAGTGTCATGTGTTTCTTAATAAGTAAATTCTTTACTTTGAAGGTAAAACTAAAGATATGTAAAGATTCCTACTTCATTATGTGGCACACAGGAGATAATCAGTCACCTTGGGTCTCCTTTTGGGGGATACTGCTCAGCTGGAAAAGTATGTGACACAGAGCACAGGCTTTGTATTCAGGTCTGGTTTTGAATCTTGGTAAATATGCCTCTAGGCTTCATGACATCCCTGCAGAAGAGAATACCTACCTTATTAAACTGTGAGATTTAGGATCATACCTCAGTACAATGTGATGTGAAACAGAGACCTCATTAGTGTTTTGTTTATTCTTTGAAGATTTGAATCAGTCTCCAGATGGGAGTTTAGATGTAATTTTGTAATTTTCTTTTACTTCTGAACCACCATTTGCTGCCACCACTTCAGTTCACTGCCAGTACCCTAGTCCATAACCTCTGTCTGAAGTATGCAACCTCAACTGATTTCATTGTCCATAGTCTGGGGATCCTAACCATAAAAGAAATATTCCTTGAAAAATTGTGGGTTTTTTTAAAAAAAGGTTTTATTTATTTGAGAGAGGGAGAACATGTGAGAAAGAAGAAGAGAGAACACAAGCAGGGGGAGGGGCAGAAGGAGAATCATACACCCTGCTGAGCAGGGAGCCCAAAGCAGGGCTCTATCCCAGGACCCCAGGATGGTGACCTGAACCAAAGGCAGACATATAACTGAGCCACTCAGGCACCCCTAAAAAACTGATTGATGGGATTCAGAGGATCTACAACCATTCAAAATATTTGCAAGGCATATGTTTCTGTCTGTATATATGCATTCCTCTACTGAGCAGTATATAGCTTTCATTTCTCAAAGGAGCCAATGACTCAGAAAGGTCAAGCATCCTTGTTCTATTCTTTTCTGATCCAGTCCATTTTATATATTACTGCTGCAATTGTTCTAAAATCTCCACTGGCAACTTACTACAAACTCTGTTATGATGGGTCTGTTTCATACCCCACCCCCCGAATTCTAAAACCTGTAGACATTTTCTTATTGCAAATAACAGTGGAAGGGGACAGGCAGGAAGATCTCATAAGGCTTTCTGTATTTCATGACCCCTTAGCTGAACGTGTATGAGTTAGTAGGAGCAAAAAAGGTTATTTAGGTAGAGGAAACAATGTGAATCTTAAGTAACAGTTTGGTGTTATCAGATGACTCAGACATTGACTGCCCTTTTCATTTTGACCAGGCTTATATTTTCCACCATGTATCACCATCCTATCACACAAGTCTCTCTGTGCTTCAGATGTTCTAGACCTATTTCCCAAATTATCCATGTGCTTTCACACTTGTTTCTTTTTTCATCTTCTTTCCTTGACCCTGAATTCCACTTCCAATGAGGTAAGGTAGAGAACACAGGATGGTGAGCAGAGTAGGAACCAGTCTTGGAGTAGCTGGAAGACATAGTCATTGTGGAACCAGAGAACTTGAAGAAGATGTGCAGTTTGAGTTTCCAGATAGTGAAAGTTGGAACAAGGCTACGAGTCAAGACCAAGAAATCAAAGCCAGAGACAAGGAATATGTACAAATAATAAGGGTAATGGCAACTGTCTAGGTAAAGAGTCAGACCCTGAAACCAGGAGGAGACCTGTACTAGGAAGCAGAGTTATGAGGTAAAAAGCCAAAGTCAGGAACCACATACTGTGGAGACTGAAAGAGCAATGACAACAGTAGAAAAGGGATTTCATTGGACCCCATGAACAGTGGCCGATACTCACTCTATGGCTCCAGCTCAGACTGAGTATGTATTTCCTGTTGTGCCAGGAGCCATACCCAGTGTGAACAGCCCAGGACTTGAAGGTGCAAGCAGGTAATCAGGAGCATTTAGCTCAGATGGAATGTGTGAGCATGAGGGAAGCAATGGCTTTGGCAGTGAAATCCTAACTGCTTGTCCATGTTTAACATAGGATGCTTAAAGTGTTTATTGAAAGAATTATTCACTTTTATAACATACATCTGCTGCTGTGAAACTCAGAAGTATATGATTTCGCTCTTTATTTTACATTCTTTAAAATAAGTAAAGAAGTAACTTCTCTCTCTCTCTCTCTCTCTCTCTTTTTTTTTTTTTTGTTTTCTTTTTTTGTTTCTCCAGAATATGCCAAATCCCCACAACCTTCCAATAGTGGCTGGTTGGAAAAAATACCCACTCTTTTTTGGTACTGCTGTGTTTGCTTTTGAAGGCATAGGAGTGGTAAGGATTTATTCTTTATTATTATTTTTAAAAATTTTAAGTCAACACAAAGACTTATGTAGTCAAACGATATTTAAAAATGCATTTTTCTTTTTTGTTTCCATTTTCTTCATTGCCAGAACATTATTTGCAGTTTGGTAGGTTACACTTGAATTATAGTTTAGTTTAGATGATTTTCAGCATTTTGTTATGGAAAATTTCAAGCCTAATACAAAATCTAGAGAAGAGTATGATGAGTTCTTGTGTAAGCGTCACCTAGCTTTAAAAATCAACTTATGGTCAATTTTGTTTTATCTCTCTTCCATCTACTTACCAAGCTCAGGTTACATTCAGACAGACCCCAAACATCATATTTTATAGACTAAATGATTTAAAGTGAATTGAAATTGTTACAAAGTTACAATTACATAGAAGAATCAAATATAAATTCTCCCTCTAGATTTATATATATTTGTTTTGAGAAATGATGTTATTATAAAGCTAATACCAAGAAATACAAGCACCCTGAGGATTCTAAGATCTTAAACATTTCCATTTAATATGCTTCCAGTTTATTTAAAGTATGGAATGTGTAGATTTGGGGAAAACAAAATATCACTCTCTACTCTGCTCTATAACTTGTTTCATTGTCTGTTGCTTTGGTATGGGAGCGAAACCACTTATACATACCTATATGAACCACAGATGAAATAGGCCTAGAAGATAATTTTATATCATTTTACTTGAGTTCTTGCTTTCTCTGAATTATCCATTACTCCATTAGAGAAATCTCACAAATTCCTATAGTTCCATTTATTACTGTTCCAGACATAACTGTAGATTTTCATTTCTGTCTTTAACATGTAAACTCTAGTAGTTAACTATTGGACATTTCCAGTTAAGTTGTTCCTGTAACATTTCAAGTTCAACAGCTCCAAAGTCTGACATAATCTTAATCCAAAACCTGTTTCACTTTCTCATTTCCCTATTTCTTTTAGCTTTATTTTCAGTTGCTCAAGCTTGAAACATTGGAGCAATTTCTTTCACTTTGTCCCTCATTCCCCTGTTCCATCAGTAATTAAGGCATGTTTATTTTTCTTTCATTTTCCCCCACAAATGAAATTACATTTAAAACACCCACAGTGCTGCTAATCACAGAGGGAGCCTACATAAATGTGAATTTCCTCTCCCCCTTTTCTAGCTGCACTGGCACCATTCTTAATCATAGCCCCCTATTTCAGGTCTGGATTATCTCCAAGGCATCCAGATGGTTCTCTCTTCTATTAACCAGTTAATATTTCCATATGGACCTGACTTACCTAAAAAGTGGAGATATTACTGGAGTTATTATCTCATAGGGTTATTGTGAGGACTAAGTGAAATGCTGCATGCAAAGCATCTAGAAAAGTACCTGGCAGGGGCGGTCTAAGATGGCAGTAGGGGAGGATCCTGAACTCACGTTCTCCCATGAACCCACTACCTCTACAGCTACCTATGGGATAATTGCCTCTGAGAAATAGCTGAAAACTATCCGGATAGCTCCTCCACGACAAAGAATAAAAGGGCCACATCCAGAGGGATAAGGGATACAAGAGATGAGGTCTCACCAAAAACTGTACCTCTGGTGCAGCAACCCAATATAGGGAGGGATCTTACAAGTCTGGAGCTTTTCCCAGAGGAACAAGGGGTTTGTGCCCCACATCAGGCATCCCTTCTGGCCCTTCACACATGCACTGGAATACCCCTGTAGGATCCAAAGGCTATAGGATCTGAGAAACTCCTTTTAAAGGGCTTGAATATGGACTCACTTGCCCCAGAATCTAGCATAAAAGCTGCAGTTTGAGAAATGCCTAGACAATATGTGAAGGAGATTCATGCACTGATCTTAAAACATCTGCTGGAGGGGCAGGGACAAGCTGGGACTTTTTCCAGGGATGGAGGCACTGGTGAGCACCATACTTGTAGTCTCCCTCTATGATGCTAGCACAGATAGACACTCACAAACACAGCAGTGTCCTGCTGTCTTGCTAACACTGGTGGGCATGCCCTGCCTTACTAAAGCTGTAGGCAAGTGTAGTCCACACAAGGAATGCCCCTTGATCACCTGGCCCTGGTGGCTGAGAGGGTTTGTGTTCCAGGGCCCCTTGGGACTTTAACAATGGGAAGGACAGTTCTTGGCAGGCTGCCACACCGAGGCCCTGCACAGACAGCACACTGATAATGCACCCCAAGTCTGCCAGTGAAAAAGGCCTGTTTATTGGTGCTGAAACTTTAACCTGCGGGACAGGCTTTAGGTTTGTCACACATCTCAAGGCTATAGAAGCACTCTCAGGGAATGTAGAGAAATACCATCTTGTGCCCTCCTTTGATCTTGCTACAGCTTGCTGATACCTTCCAGAAAAGAGCTTATACAGTTATCTGAAACCTTGAATTTTAGAACTGTTCCCTAAGAGACCCGTCCAGATTTCCTGGTCTAGAGGCCAGCAGGGTTTACAATTGTGGTTCCATAGGACTCTATATTTCCATACTTTAAAAGCTGCTGTCTGAGAAGCTGCTTCCAGTCATCCTGAAAATTGGTACTGACTGAGATCCCCACAGTGGAGCACTGGTAGGTCTTGCTTGGCACACGCTCAATAGCTGAAGCTTATCAAGAATAAATCAGGCTACTTAGATAATCACAAAGGTCCAAGAGACAACCACAAACTAGGACAAGGTTGAATGATAAAGTTCATCTCCTTCACAGGGTCACTCCTTGAAGACTGGGAGATGTAGCTGTTTCAGCTAATACATAGAAACAAACATAGAGAGTCAAGAAAATTGAGGTGTGGGAATATGTTCCAAATGAAGGAACAAGACAAAGCTTCAGAAAACGACCTTAGCAAAGTGAAAATAAGTAAGCTACCTGATAAAGAGTTCAAAGTCATGGTTATAAAGATGCTTATGGAACTTCAGAGAAGAATGGATGTTCTTCAGCAAAGCAAAAGAAAAATATAAGTACCAAACAGAAGTCATAAAGCTGAGGAATACAATTACTGAACTGAAAAATATACTAGAGGGGTTCAGTAGACCAGATGAAGCAGAAGAACTAGCCAGTGACCTTAAAGACAGGGCAGTGGAACTCACTCAAACAGAGCAACGAAAAGGAAAAATAATGATAAAGTAAACAAAGCTTAAGGGACCTATGGGACAACACCAGGCAGAATTGGTATTCATTTGCATTATAGGGATCCTAGGATGAGAGAGAAAAAGAAGAATAAAAATAATAAATAACAGCTGGAAAATTCCCTAACCTGGGGAAGGAAACAGACATGCAGGTCCACAGATATTCCAAATAAGGTAAACCCAAAGAGATCCATGCAGGGACACGTAGTTTAAATGCAAAAGTTAGAGAGGGAATCTTAAAAGCAACAAGAGAAAAACAACTTGTTTTGTACAGAGGAATCCCAATGAAGCTGTTAGCTGATTTTTCACCAGAAACTTTGTAGAACAGAAGAGAGTGGCATGATGTATTCAACATACTGAAAGGAGAAAACTTCCAAACAAATACTCTTACCTGGCAAGGTTATCATTTGGAACTGAAGGAACACTTAACCTAATTAAAAGTGTGAGTATAAGCATCCTTGACTTGTTTCTGATCTTAAAGGGAAAGCTCTTAGCTTTTCACTGCTGGACACTAGCTGTGGGCCTATTATATATGGCCTTTATTATGTTGAGTAATGTTCCCTGTGTGCACACTGCATTGAGTGTTTTTATCATGAACAGATATTGAATGTTGTAAGTGCTTGTTCTGCATCTACGGAGATGATCATCTGATTTTTATCCTCCATTTTGTTAATTTGGTGTATCCTGTTGATTCATTTGTGGATGCTGAACCATTCTTGCATCCCTGGAATAAATCCCACTTGATCATGATGTATGATCCTTTTAATGTATTGTTGAATTTAGTTTGCTAATACTTTGTTGAGGATTTTTGCATCTATGTTCCTCAGGGATGTTGCTTAAATTTCCTTCCTTCCCTTCTTCTCCTCCACCTCCTCCTTCTTCTTCAGTGTCCTACTCTAGGTTTGGTATCAGGGTAATGCTGACCTTGTAAATGAGCTTGGAAATGTTCTCACCTCTTCTGTTTTTTGGAAGTATTTGAGAAGAATGGGTATTTAAAGCTTTTTTTGAATGTTTGGTAGAGTTTGCTTGTGAAATCATCTGGACCTGGACTTTTGTTTGTTAGGAGTTTTTTGATTCCTGATTCAATCTCCTCATTACTAATCTTTCCGTTCTGATTTTCTATTTCTATAAGACATAGATTCAGATTCTGAATCATGAATCATTCATTGTATTGGAATATTCTGTATTTCAAGGAATTTATCCATTTCTTCCAGGTTGTTCAGTTTTTTGGCATGTAATTTTCCATAGTTTTTTATGACCATTTGTATTTCTATAGTATCAGTTGTAACTTCATTTTTGACTTATTTGTTTGAGCTCTCTTTCCTTTTTTAGTTGGTGAGTGTAGCTAAGGCTTGTCAAATTTGCATGGCAACTATAGGCAATACTACTTTACTACATCTTTGAACGTTGCCAAGAGACTAAATCTTTAAAGTTCTCATTACAGAAAAAAAATTTTTGTATTGTGATGGATGGTAACTAGACTTATTGTGGTGATCACTTTGGAGTGCATGTAAATATGAAACTCTTATGTTTACACATGAAACTAGTATAATGTTATATGCCAATTTTCTCTTAATTACAAAAGAAAAATACCTGGCCCCTCATAAGTAAATACTTGCTGTTATTATTTCTTAGTATCTTTTACGTATGGCCAAATCATATGGCCAAAACCTCTGAAGATTGGCCTAAAAACACTTAACTCTTCAATTAGCCTTTTTTCCTTTTCTTTAAAGGTTTTTTTTTCCACATAATAATAATAACTTTTCATCTCACTAAATTGACAGACAATATATACAGATGGATAGATATAGAAGCAGTTATAGACATGGCTATACCTGGGTTATTATGCACACATGTATTTCCTAGTACTTCAGCTAAGAGATACACAGTAGCTACAGCCACATCCAGCACCCAGATCTTGACTTCTAAATACCATCTACAACAAAAGAATCAAAGTTCTTTGGAGAAATATCTGATTCTAGGACTGAAACAATGACATTTAAGATGAGTCTGGAGCATCTTATAGCACCAGAAAATGTGGAAATGCTCAAAAAACGAAAGAACAGAGGCATACAAAGGAATACAGGAAGCAACCTGGTGGAATTCACGATGACCGAAGCCGGAACAAAATGAGCAACAAAATCAATAAGTGTTTTTGGATTCATATTCACAATATAAAACAAATATACATGAATGCATACTAACATAAGTAAGTGATGCAATAAATATGTACATGGGAGGATTCCCAAATAATTAGTTCCCCTCCAGGAGCTGTAGCTTAATCCCCAGTCCCTGGAATGTGGGCTGCATTTAGTGACTTGCATTCCAATGAACAGAGTGTGGTAAGAAAGAAGAAAAGACCTTTATTAAGTAGAGAAACCTGGCAACATTGCCTTAACCAAATGATGAAAGTTAATTTCTCCAGCGACAAATCATGTTGATAGCATGTGTGATGAGAAGGGCATTTTACCTCGGTGGTATCTTGTTCTAAAACCTATAATCCCAGTGTACAAACATCAGGCAACATCAGACAAACCCTGGTAGAGCGACATTATACCAAATACCTAACCAGTATTCCTCAAAACTGTCAAGGTAATGAACAATGAGGAAGGATTGTGAAGCCATCGCAGACCAGAGAAGACCAAGGAGATATGGTGACAAAATGCAGTGTGGCATCCTGGAAGGGACCCTGGAACAGAAAAAAAGGACATTAGTGGATTTAATGAAATCCAAAAAAATTTAGAGTTGAATAATAATATATCAATGTTGGTTCTTGGTTGTAACAAATGTAATTTGGTAGTTTAAAATGTTAAAAGAGCAAACTGGTCAGGCGTATATGGGAAATTTGTTTACCTTTGCAACTTTTCTGTAAATCTAAAATTATATAATAAAATAAAGCTTATTGGGGATCCCTGGGTGGCTCAGCAGTTTCGTGCCTGCTTTTGACCCAGGGCATGATCCTGGGGTCCCAGGATCGGGTCCCGCATCAGGCTCCTGGCATGGAGTCTGCTTCTCCCTCTGCCTGTGTCTCTGCCTCTCTCTCTCTCTCTCTCTCTCTCTCTCTCTCTCTGTCTATGTCTATGTCTATCATAAATAAATAAAAATAAATCTTTAAAAAAATAAAAATAAAAAAATAAAATAAAGTTTATTTTTTTAAAATCTGACAGGTTTGCCTGCTAAGATCTAATTTCAGATCTTTTTTATTTTAAGGATTTGAACACCTATAGTGTAAAATATATATATAACACCAAGAAAAATATTCAGCAATTATAAGTTTTATTTTAAAGGAAATTTAAAAAAAGGAAATAAAATTTGCATATAAGCTATAGGAAGATTAATTTGTGTATATATTAGATGGAATACTAGATTGTTTTAAATTACTTGTATTATCTGCATTCTCTTCTTAGGTCCTTCCACTGGAAAATCAAATGAAAGAATCAAAACGCTTTCCCCAAGCATTGAATATTGGCATGGGAATTGTTACAACTTTGTATGTAACATTAGCTACCTTAGGATATATGTGTTTCCGTGATGAAATAAAAGGCAGCATAACTTTAAATCTTCCCAGGATGTATGGTAGGTATATATGAGTTTGTTAATCCTAGTTTGTATATTTCACACATATAGCTTACTAGTATTTGATATTAAAGGTGTATTTTTGGATTTATGGTTTAAACATTTAGTATTTTTATTGTAATTTCTTATTTGTGTAACCTAGAATATTTTTATACTTTTCAGAGGAGACCGTCTATGATTTTACAGATTCATTTGGGATCCTTTAAAACGATTAAAAGTTTTTAAAAATTAAACATTGCAGGATGTTCCAAATTTGAGTAACATATGAAAGTAAAACATGAATTCTTTTAATATAGATTCACTATAATAAAAAATGTAATGCTGCCAAAAAATCCAATACTCTAGGTTCCTGATAAAATGATAAAACCCATCATTATTAAAAAACAATATGGTGCATCTTAATATTCACTTAAATTTGGAAACCATATTCTGCAAAATGAAGCAATATAGAGGGTTTTTCTTTTTTCCAGAGATTGGTCTCTGGAGATTTTAGAAAGGTATTGGCAGCAATTACCATGGAGATGTGCTCTCTTATTCGTTAAATTGAAGGTAACTTCTTAGCTTTGATAAATACAAAGAAGAAATGTTAAATTGCTGATTTAATTAATGTCACACTGCTCCTTTAGCTGCTTGGATAGAAGTCTGTGAAACTTGAAATGTTTTTGAATATTACATGTTCTGACTGGCTTCCTGTTGATAGTTTGAGAGTTTATCTTTGGGTTTTTCCTGGAGTTGAAAATGCTGCAAGAACAAATCCACAAAGGAGGGCATTTGTGATAGAGAGAATATACGTAGAATAGTTTTCAGGCTGCACATTTGTGATAGAGAGAATATACCTAGAGTAGTTTCCAGGTTGCACAATGGGCACACACACAGTGGGTTCTTTTTTTTTATTATTATTATAATTCTACCTTAGCTATGGCACGTTTTATAAATATAGTATTTCACGATGGGAAGTTGTCACATATCATACATTTGTTTCAGACTAGAGACATGCCTACAAACAATTTTAAGCATTTATTTCATTAACTTACATTATGGTTGATTATATAATTTTGTTTCCTCCAAATATGCCCCTTTTTGTAGTAGTTTAATACAGGCTAGAAGCTTAAATGGCTTAAGAGTGTCAAGGTTAAAAATTATGGTAGCATGGCATAGTTCTTTTTCTCAAATACTATATAATATCTAGAAAACAGAGTGGTATTTTTCCCCACTTAGAATAATGGTCAGAATAAATCTGAAGAATAATTTTATAAATAGAACTGACAAGTACTTTTAGTGTCAAATATAAAATGTAGATGGAGGGATCCCTGGGTGGCTCAGCGGTTTGGCACCTGCCTTTGGCCCAGGGTGCGATCCTGGAGTCCCGGGATCGAGTCCCACGTCAGGCTCCCGGTGTGGAGCCTGCTTCTCCCTCCTCCTGTGTCTCTGCCTCTCTCTGTCTCTCTCTGTCTATCATAAATAAATAACAAATGAATAAATAAATCTTTTAAATCTATCTTTTAAAAAAAATGGAGATGGAAACAATCTCAGAATTCTTTTCCAAAAAAAAAAAAAAAAAAAAGAATTATTTTCCACAGAAATATTTGGAGAGAGAAGGGAGTGAAGAGGGGTACACATGCATGTCAAATTGAGATGTTCCTATCCCCAGAGTTAAGAGCATGATGAAGGAACAGCGGGAGAGACAAGTAGGAAATGCTTTCTATATTCACAGCTGAGCCTGGAGGGCACTCCACTGCCCGTGCATTAACTCTGTTAAATCCTTGCCTTGTTTGGCATCCCCTTCGTGCCTCTCACCTTATCCCTCATTGCTGTGGCTTTACACTTCGAACAGAGCCAGTTGCAAGACTTGATTAAAAAGGAACCATCAAAAAAAAAAAAAAAAAAAAGGAACCATCATCATCTCTAATCAAAGAAGTCTAGCTAGTCACCTGCTTTTCATTTAGAGGAAAGGATAGTACACATATCCTAAAAAACACAAATCTGGAATAAAACAGAAAGCGCGTCAAGATAGATCAAATTCCTTCAGAGAACTTGTGTTGGCTAATTCCTTTTCCTTTTGGAGATGAGGCTTCTGTGGCCTACTGTCCATTTATTTATGGCCTCTGCATCCGGGCTGCTTAAATAACAGCCACGACTGAGGAATACTGCAGAGGAGATGCTTGTCCTTTTATAGTGATAGTCTTCTGTAAGATGAGAAGTTTGAACGGGAATGATCACTGGATTATGTACAGATTTCTTTCTTGATGTACTATGTATGTATCACTATGTATGTACTATGTATGTATAAGAGTACTTGATGTACTCTTCTTCCCTTCCCTCTTTGTGCTTCAGGTGATAGGCCTAGGAAGTAAGAGAATGTGCAGTATACTCGTTACTCTTGATATAAAAGCCAATGGTGGGCACAAGAGCCGAGGGAGCTCCTAGCTGCTGGCAATGGGAAGCAGTAAAGGGATTTTGATGCCATGTGACTTACATTCTCAGAATTCGTAAGGGGTATTCCTACAAGAAAATACTGAATTAGAATGTAGCCCCAAGATAAAGCAAGTATGGATTAGAGAGTCTCCAAATTATTAACTATTTATTGATTGAGGTGTCATCTTTTAAAACTAGTTATGAGTAGTAGTATTCAGTGTATCACATTTAGGTTTTGAAGCAAAGAATGTGCTTTAAAGATGATACTGAAGTAAATTCGCAGCTCTGAGCTAGGCCATTAGCACCTTGATGGGGCAGGAATTGCTATTTCAGTTCCACTCACACCCAAACAGCAGCAGAGAGGGGGGAAAAAGCATTCTCTTGGGAGTCTTGAGAATAGGCTTGACCAAATAGCCTGCCTCAAGCATAGCATCAGCTCATAAAAAGTACACCTTTTACATAATCATAATCTTGATGTTGCTTTTTATGCAAAAATAATTCCTTCTCAGAAAAAAAACCTTTGAGAGAAATTGCTGCTCAGAGCCATCCACTGTGTTTAGCCTGTCCTCTGAGAGCCCCTAGCCCACCGTCACTCCCCAGGAGGGAGCAAGTACTGAGTAAAAAGCAAAGGCACAGTACACTTGCAAGCCAAATAACCAAGAAGAAATAGCCTTTTGAATACTGGACTTAAAAAAAAAATCTATGCAAATAAAGACATGATAGTAACGTAACAAAGATCAAAGATAATGTTTCTTTCTGTCTGGATTGATATGAAGAATTCTTCATATCACTTTATGTAGATTCTGTTCTTTCACACAGTGCTCTCAGGCTTCGATGTAAGTTCCTATGTACTACTTTAATTTATAGAATCTCCTTACTATCAAGAAGGTCCTAAATAGGAAACGTTTGCATGAAGGGAGTCTGAAGGAAAAATAGGAATGTGGACTTAGGCAGACAGATGAATAGCACTTGTGTTTGAGCATGAATGCCACATCATTGTAAGATCTTCCAGGTGAGTGTATCTAGATTATGTCTTTAGTTTATATGTCTCTCCAGCTCCTCTAATAGCAATTTTGGGAATTTAAGCCAATAAGATGAAGGTTTCTAATTGTGTCATTGTCATAAGGGAAGATTAGAGGAATGGAGATTTGAGGGTAATTAGTATTAATGATGGTATAACAAGTTTACAAGAGGACTTAAAATAGCGAATAGTATTTATTTGGGTTCCATCTTACTGTCTTACTGAGTGGTGGTGTGTACATCATAGGAACAAACATCTTTCTTGTAGTTGTGGTTTCCTTTGTTCAGTTTTGTTGTGTTGCTTATTTTTCTGAAACACAAGATCTGTTCCATATCCCTTTGTCTTTTCCCCATCACAGTTACCGTGTCTTCTTATTTGGTTCCAGCTAGTGGCTTTTTAACTTTTTAAAACTACAACCCGGGGATCCCTGGGTGGCGCAGCGGTTTCGCGCCTGCCTTTGGCCCAGGGCGCGATCCTGGAGACCCGGGATCGAATCCCACATCGGGCTCCTGGTGCATGGAGCCTGCTTCTCCCTCTGCCTATGTCTCTGCCTCTCTCTCTCTCTCTCTCTCTCTCTCTCTGTATGTGACTATCATAAATTAAAAAAAAAAATTAAAACTACAACCCATAGTAAGAAAGGGAAACGTTTTATAGAAAAAACCCTTATAGAAATACATGTACACATGTCTGTATGTGTGTTTTCATGGTACACACCACCCACACAAAGTAATGCAATATGTATAAGTAAGATGTTACATAAAAACCCATATTTTCTACTACCCCCCTGGTATACTGTATTCCAGTCCGTATATTAGGGAAAAAAAAGTATTTCACACTCACTCAACTGATATCACCCACTAATGGGTCATGATTAGAGTTTGAACAATATTTGCCTCGAATGAATTCACATGTGACTCATTCAGTCTGCACACATAACACGTCTACTCAGAAATATTGAGGGTATTAGATTTTCACACACAAATACTGAGAAGCAGTAAGGTGCTTCTGCTTTCACATGTGTTCTTTGTGAAGCATGTATTGGATAGGAAAAATTCATTAAAAAAGAGAACCATAGAAGAACAGGGAAAGGATAAGATAAACTTTTTAATTTATTAAGATAAGTGAACTGCTCCTTCATTTTCCCCCCAAAACAGAACAAACCGCAAGTCTAAGTCCATGTTTGTAGCATACAGGAGCTAGGAGCCCAAATATTTTAGGAAATAAAGCTGATGAGTGACGGCAGGTAATAAAGCTATCTCTTAATTTATCCCAGTAGGCAATCAAGGGGTAGAACTCCAAGCGAGGAGCTTGTTATCTAAAATGAAAATATTCAGGCAAGAACAGGCCCACTGAGAGGCACAATAAAAAAGTAGTAAGAGAAATAAATTGAATAAAACTGGGAAAAGGGTCTGGGTGGCTCAGGAGTTGACAATCTGCCTTTGGCTCAGGGCATGATCCCAGGTTCTGGGATCAAGTCCTACATCGGGCTCCCTGCAGGGACCCTGCTTCTTCTTCTGCCTATATCTCTGCCTCTCTCTGTGTGTCTCTCATGAATAAACAAAATCTTAAAAAAAAATGGAAAAAGAAGGTTCCTGTCTCCTGGACTATTCCCTCTGTTCTCTCCCTCACAAATTCTGTGTGGTTGTTTTTATGTTTTTTTTTTTCTCATTAAGTTTTGTTTTAATGGATCTCAAAATGCTATGACAGACTTATTACTTCCCAATATTAAAGTTACCTGTAACCGGGAATCCTGGCCCAAACTGCCCCTGACTTTCCTCATCAGAATGACTGTCCTTAATCATATTAAATTCAAAACGAAGGGCATCTAACATATTTATTATATGCCGTATGTCCCAGCTCCTGTTCCAGACAGTAGAGATATAGCAGTGAGCAGATGGAAATCTTTTCCTCATGGTGCTTATAGTCTAGTGAACATGCTCCAGAGTGAGTGGTTCACAGCATTCAGTCTAGTTGTAAATACTAGATAACCCTCATTGTGTTATGTTTTGGCTTAGAGTGAGGGAGGTTCCTGGTAAGGACCATAGCTAGACCTCAAACAGACTTCTTGCTTCTTAACAAAACTAAGCTCAAGAATTTTAACGTATCATGAAGGGTCTGAGAGGGAAGTGAGTTATCAGTAGCTTCTGTATTCAACCTAGAGAGAAACAGAGTCACTCAGCAGGTTGGCTTTAAAAAATTTAATATATTCATATCTGTACATTTAGGTTAAATATTGTTTTATTAGGGGGCACCTGAGTGGCTTGGTCAGTTCAGCATCTGACACTTGGTTTCAGCTCAGGTCATGATCTCAGGGCCGAGAGACTGAGCCCCATGTGTGGCTCCCCACTCAGCATGGAGTCTGCCATGAGATTCCCTCTCCTTCTCCCCCTGCCCCTCCCACTGAGGTTCTCTCTATTTCTCAAATAAACCTTTTTTTTTTTAAAAAAAAAGTATTAATTTGTTAGCCAATGTGGGGAAAAGAGTAGCAGCATTGCAAATTTTGAAATCCTGTGTTTTTAAAACTAATGTTTTCATTGAACATTTAATTGCCCCCCGCCCCATAATCTGATTTCATATATTGATGGCTAAATAATTATTTTAAAAATACACTTGTTTCTTTTTTAAAAAGATTTATTTTTTAAGTAATCTCTACACTCAATGTGGGGCTCAAACTCATGACCCCAAGATCAAGAGCCACATGCTCTACTGACTGAGCCAGCAAGACATCCCTCACTTATGTTCTTTACTAAGATACTAGATGTCTTTGCTACCGGTATAATAAATTTTGTTTTCAAGCAAGAATTATTTTATTTTTGAAGTATATTTGTGGTCTTAAGTGGATATAGTTCCTATGAATTACCTACCCATACCCATTTCTTATTATTAATATTTACTTAATAAGTATTTCTCACCTTCTGTGTGCCTTAGGGAGTATACAGAGAGGAATAAAACAGAGTCTCCAACTTTTAAGAACTTTGGCAGTGAGTTTTAAAATAGTTTTTCATGGGCCTTAAATATTATTTAAAAGTTGTTTATGTTCTTTTGTGTCTTCAAAACAAGTCCTTAGAACTTTAAGAAAGTTTTTTATCCCTTGGAGAGATAGTTTACAGGGTAGATTCTTGTTTCAACTCTTCAGTTTTTAAACTGAGTACATAGCTGCCTGCTTAAAACCAAAATGAGGGGCAACCTGTGTGGCTCAGTGGATTAAGCATCTGCCTTTCAGCTCAGGTTGTGATCCCAGCATCCTGGGATAGAGCCCTGCGTGCTAGGCTCCCTGCTTGGCGGGGAGTCTGCTTCTCCCTCTATCCTTTTTCTCTGCTCATGATCTCTCTCTCACACATTCTGTCTCAAAGAAATAAAATCTTTTAAAAAAATGTGCCAAATGCTGATAATATCTATAGAAAAGTTGTTTAGAGAAAAATAGAATGATTGAAAATATAGATGTCAACCACAGAAACTAGTAGGTTCTTAAAACAGAAAAGTCAAAATAGAACAATTGATCAGTGCTTTTCTTAAACACCTTTATTTCTATATTACTTTTCTTTGATAATTAGCATATATATTAGCTTTTAAAAGACTCATATCATTTTATTTCCCATTTGTACTCTGTAATACCTAATTAATATTATTGACTTGCTTTAGTAATAACTAGATTCTTAGCCTATATAACTTGTTTTAAATCGATAGAAAAGTAATTATCTTACATGCATAATGATGTATTTTTAAATATATTGTTAACTGTATTTAAAAACCTGTAAGTTAAAATACAACTAGAACAAAAGGAATGTACTAATAATAAACTGATATTCATTTGTCTACAATTACATATCAAATTATATGAGGCAGGAGTCTTGGAGTTATTCTGTGCATTGCAGTAACTTGACCATTTATATTTAGACTTTAAGCCTTAAAGCTGAGAAATCTATCCTGAAATCGTTTTAAAATTAGTATTTTATTGTTGCTAGCCCTAAGGAGTTCCTTCTTTCTTTAATTATGTTTATGGTATTTTCAAATCTATTTCAACTCAACTTTTTTCCTTTCTCTTACTCCTATGAGGCATATATTATAGGAGGAGACTTTGGGAATTCCTTCATGCAGGACCATAGTTTAGAGAACTGTTGATAATCTTTGCTACGTTAGGTCTTAAGACACCAGAAATAAGCATAAAGTCTAATGTTGGCCTTTCTTTACCAAAAGTGGAATATTTCGTGTCACTTTAAAATGATTTTTTCTTAAGAAAGAACCACACTTCCTTTGCATAGGCCTTGCAGGTGGGAAAGCAAGACTCTTAAGGGAAATTAGGGCTCTTGACGAAATTTCTGCCTCGAGAGGATGTGTGTGTTAACCACAACCCCAGTACAGCGGAACATTCAATCCATGGTCTCTTGGCCAGTTGTTTCCTAAAAGGATACAAGAGAAATTTTTTTTAAGCTGTTGTAAATATTCCAAATTTCAAAAAAACAACATAATTTATTGTCTGTAACCCAAGAGAGTAGATTCTATAATGTTCTGAGTCCTGTGATTCTACATTTTCTGTCATTATCAACATTTAAAACGTATTCTTTTGCCAGACAAAAGGAAGTTAACCAAAGTCTCTATTCAGACATGTATACTGATTCTGACAGGATGTTGTCTACAATGGAGAAATCTAAAGATATTTATAAAACTGAACGTTGCTGTACTGTTGTGAAATACTGGGCATCAACCCAACCTAATAAACTTTATTCCCCTATTAATGTAACTTTAGCATAGGTGGAATTCCTATAGAATCTGGAGAACTTTTTAAGTTAAAACCATTTAGATGCCCTCCTTTTGGACCTAAGAACAATGACATTTTTTGAACTAATGACATATATACCAAGATTTTTAAGCAAAGAGAACTGTAACTCAGAGTCCAATGTGAAGTTTTCTTCTATATATAGATCAATAAATTTTCAAAGAGATAGAGTATGCTCAGTTATTGAAAGAAAGTTGAGAAAACATTAACTCTTCATGGGACACAGCTAGCCTTTAGAACACTGGTTTAGCCTAAAATAGAATCTTAGCAGCAATATTCCCAAACCTTTGCATAGCCACATGCAAGCTCTCTAGGCTTGTCAAAATGAACTGTTCACCTGTCATCTAAAAATTGAGTAGAGATCAGCTGGATTTATTTATTTTTTAATAAATAAGCATATAATTGGTAAGATATTGGCCTAAGTTTCTTTTGGATTTCTTGCCTATTTAAATATTACAGATAAAAGAAGAAAGCCAGATTCATGTTAAGACAACAGTGTGGGTGAACATGGAAGGCATTATGTTAAGTGAAATAAGCCAGGCAAAGAAAGAAAGATACTGTGTGGTATTACTCATAGGTGGAATCTAAAATTATATATATATAATTTTATATATATATATATGCCTGGGTGGCTCAGTTGGTGAAATGGTCAGCTCTTGATTTCAGCTCAGATCATGATCTCAGGGTCCTGGAACAGAGCCCCAGGTCAGGCTACACACTCAGCAGGCAGTAATATTTGAGGATTCTCTCCCTCTCTCTCTGCCCATCCTCCTGCTCACATGCACTTGCTCTCTCTAAAATAAGTTTTTTAAAAAAATTAAAAAATATGTAGAGCTCACATAAGCAGAGTAGATTGACAGTTGCCAGGGGACTGGTGGATGGGGAAAAAGAAGAGAGTTTGATAGAAGGGTGCAAACTTTTAGTTATAAAATGAATATGTTCTAAGGATCTGATGTATAATGTGGTGACTATTGTTGATAAGAGTGTAGTGTATAACTGAAATTTGCCGAGTAGAACCAGTGTTCTCACCAAAAAGAGAAAAAAAAAAAGCAAATATGTGAGGTGATGGATGTGTTAACTCGGTAGTGGGAATCCTTTCCCAGTGTATACGTCTATCAAATCATGTTTTACACCTTACCTATATTACAGTTTTGTCAGTTATACCTCAATAAATCTGGGGAAAAAAGAATGACTGAATTCTGAAATATTTTTTAACAGGTTATATCAATCAGTGAAAATTCTATATTCCTTTGGCATCTTTGTGACATATTCAATTCAGTTCTATGTTCCGGCAGAGATCATCATTCCTATGATCACATCCAAATTTCATGCTAAATGGAAACAAATCTGTGAATTTGCAATAAGGTCCTTCTTGGTTAGTATTACATGTAAGTATGACTACATATTTATATCATAATTTTTTCTTGTTGAATTTCATATAATGAAGCTACTTAACGTATATTTTTTAATATTTTAAAAACAATTTTATTTATATAGCTGAGATACTTTCTGGGTTAAAAGTTTGTTATTCTATTACTGTAAAAGAAAAATATAAACCAGATATTATCATGATTAAAGGAAATAACCAAATTATTATCTTGAAAACTACATCAGTGGTGATTAAAATATAAGTATATTTAAATTAGATGCATAAGGGACTCATTGTTGATACACATTTTACTTGGGTTTTAGTTTTCCTCAGGTTTTTTATTTCTGCTAACTTTTATATATTTAACAGTTTAACTCTCCATGACTACCTATAGAAATGGGTTTGGTTTTGTTTTCATCTTTAATAATTTCAGTGGCTAATTTTACTTCTTATTCAAAGCAATGTGTGCAATCTTGTCTTAAGGTTTCACATTATAAAATGCTTCCACTGGAGAGCACTAATCACAGAGACCTGTGGAAAAGCTTGGTTTTGGTTGGAAATAGTGGGAGTTTTGAGGTCACACCAACCTGATGATTCAGACCTGCCACTCACCTGCTGATGTCTTTAGACAGGTTTACATACCATCCATAAGCCTCTCTTTCTCAACTGTGAAGTTCATGGCATTTTTATAGAGTTTAAGAATATTAACAAAGTAGCCAGAAGTTATCATTGTCACCATTATTACTGTAACCAAAAGTATAAGATGACCATAATCCTGAACAAACGATTACCTAGAATGATACCAGAAACATTGGAAATTGGTCAGCTTTCTGTGCAAGACAGGAGTAACCATCGTGGCGCACTCAAGGCAAGAGAATGAGAGAGCTAGGAATTCAGGCCAATTTATAAATAGCAGTGAACATCTTAGAGTGGAGCTTATGGCCTAGATTTAAAGAAATGGCAAAGCTGAGAAAAGTAAATTAAACCTACTTTCCAAAGTAATCATTTAAATGAATTATAACAACAATAAAGTAAATCATATTGAGGAGTGAAGACACAAGCCCCTCCTAGGGTGACTAATAAAACATTCAGTGGGAAAAAGTTATTTTAAGACTTTTTGAAATACTTCTTTTGCATCGTTTTTGTTGATATTTTGACAAATACAAGTAATAAATAAAAAGGCTAATTTCATGAGTCCTTTTATAATAGATGTAAGACCATTCTATTCTGAAAGTGTATCTCCTTTTAAAATTAGTTATGGAGGTTCACTTGAAGGAGCTTGAAGAATGTTAAAGGGATTTAGTAACTTGGGATGTTTCAGTAACTTCTCCCACTTCCACGCTTTGTTATGTCAAAGCTACCTATGTGCTGAGGCACAGACCACACCACACATCTGCTACTGTCAGTTTATTCCCAAAAGCTGGGCCTTTTCTCAAGAGCTGAGTTCATGGCACAGAGAATGGCCAGTTTTTCTTCACTTCTCTCTTTTAGTTAAAAATAGTTAAAGCTACTCAGCAGCATATGAGGGTTATATTTACAGCATGCTTTGGACAAAGAGAACACAAACCAGATTGTCTTCCCTTCTACTTCACTGGGATACATCATTGGACACTGAGCCTCATTTGAGTCTTTGGCACATTCTTCCAAATTAAAGTAAAAGCCAGCTGATGTGCATGACAGGACTGTTGTTTATCTGTTCATTAAAGCACTTGAGGAGAGGGCGGGGCAAGATGGTGGAGGAGTAGGGTCCCCAAGTCACCTGGCCCCACAAACTTACCTAGATAAATTTCAACACATCCTGAACACCTACGAATTCAATATGAGATTTAAAGTGAGAACAGCTGGAACGCTACAGACAGAAAAGCTTTCATTTCTAACAAGGTAGGAAGGCAGAAAAAAAAATTTTTTTTAAAGAATAAAGTGGGAGAGGGGAACCACAAGTAGCAGGGCTAGAGCGGAGTGGTAAAAGCCTCTAGGGCAGGAAAGCCCAGCCCTGGGGAAGCAGGAACTTTTAAAATCCACACCAGAGTTTTCCATGAACGAAAAGTGCTCAGCAGGGAAATCGGGCACAACCGCAGGAGGGGCAGTGAGGCCTCAAGATTCCCAGACTCACTATAAGAGGGGAGGGGTGCCCAGGGGAAAGCTCACCACAAACCGCAGCCCAGTAAACAGCTGGAGCCCCGCAGCCCTCGGGGCATTTGGGAGAAGCCTATTGGTTAGGTGGCCCTGGACAGAGGTGGCTGTACCCCGTTACCTTCAGGACAGGCAGTCCACAGGAGTGTGGGTCCAGTGGCACAGAACCCCAGATTCCAGGGCGCCCAAATGGACAAAGCCAGCAATCCTGTGTTTCCCTCAGGACAGGCAGAAGTGGGGAGGGCACAGGAAAGCAAGAACTCTCCTGCTGCTGGATGCCCTGCAAGTTGTGCAGATCAGGGCACCCACACCAGCCCCCAAGAGCATCTAAGCCAGTGCATACTGAGAGACTGCACACTCATGGGGAGCTCGACTCCAGAGCTGGAAATATGGCCACCACCATTGTTGTTTTTCCTCTGTTTCACCTTGTGCCTGGGAGAGCCAGAACCACCAGGGAACAGAGGCCTCCTGGGGTCAACAGCTCCTACTGAGCCCAGCACCTGGGAGGGGGGCAGGGCAGCTCCCCCAGGTACACACACCTGAGACTCAGCACAGCAGGCCCTCCCCCAGAAGACCAGGGGAAGAGCAAGTTGATTGACCAAGCAGCTCTGGAAAGTATAAAGTATATAGTTCTAGTATATAGAACTAGAGGGCCCTTTTTTCCCCCTTTTTACTTTTTATATTACAACTCCTTTTTATATCAGACTAAAAATTTCCAATATTTTTTCTCTTTTCACACCTTAACTACAATATTTTACCAGCTCTTCATTTTTAAGTTTTTTTCCTTTTTGACTTTCATATTTCTACAATTACATGTCTTAGATATATTTTTCACTTCTGGATTCCCTTCAACGTATTCAGTTTAATTTTGGTAGATATACAAGATATGGGTTTTTGTATTTTGTTTTTTCTGCCTCGTTTTGTTTTACAATGGTGGAAGTTAGTACCTTCTAAAACATGACCAGCATGCACCCAGAACCAAGTCGAACACCATGTTGGTTCATTCTGTGAGATCATATTCTCTCTTCTTTCCAATTCTGCCCCCCTCTTTAGTCTTGTTTATGCTTTTGTGGTCAGTGTTGGGGCTTTATATAAATATTGCTGGTTTATATAAATTTGGGATTGAACATCTTCTAACATACAGAACAAAATCTACTCAGAACCAAGAGGATCACCCTCTAGGACCTTCAGGTAGATTACATTTTCTCTCAACTACCACTCCCTCACCACCACCATCCCCCCTCTTTTTTCTCTTTTCCTCTTTACTTTTTTTTTCTTCATTTTTGGTTTTTGGGTTTTTATTTTTACTACTTGGTTTTAAAATTTGTTTTTCACTTTAGTGCTCCTTTTGTTTTGTTCTTCTTTTTCTTTTATTTTCTGGTCTCTGAACCAGAAAATAGGATATATTTTACTTAGGTCGTGGTTGATATTTTTGATTCGGCCCACTCGTACAACCACTCTGCACTGGACAAAATGACTAGAAGGAAGAATTCACCACCAAAGAAAGAACCAAAAACAGTACTCTCTGTCACAGAGTTACAGGATTTGGATTTCAATATGATGTCAGAAATTCAGTTCAGGGCAGCCCCGGTGGCGCAGCGGTTTGGCGCCACCTGCAGCCCGGGGCATGATCCTGGAGACCCAGGATCGAGTCCCACATCTGGCTCCCTGCATGGATCCTGCTTCTCCCACTGCCTGTGTCTCTGCCTCTCTCTCTGTGTTGCTCATGAATATATAAATAAAATCTTTTTTAAAAATTTAAAAAATGGTTTAAAAAAAAGAAATTCAATTCAGAAGTACAATTATAGGGATACTGGTAGCTCTGGACAAAAAGCATAAAGGACTCTAAAGACTTTGTTACTGCGGAATTGAGATCTAATCAAGCCAAAATTAAAAATAGATTAATCTATTAAAAATTAAAATAGATTAGTCTAAAACTAGAGATGCAGTCCAAACTGGATGTTCTCTAACTGCTAGTGTTAATGAGGTGGAAGAAAGTGAGTGACATCTAAGACAAGTTGGTGGTAAGAAAGGAAGCTGAGGAAAAAAGAGAAAAACAATTAAGAGCCCATGAGGAAAGGCTTAGGGAAATGAATGATAGCTTGAGAAGGAAGACTATACATCCAATTGGAATTCCAGAAGAAACTGAAAGAGAGAGGACCACAAAGTATATTTGAACAAATCATAGCTGAAAACTTACTAAATCTAGGGAAGGAAACAGGCATTCATATCCAAGAGATAGAGAGAAACCCCCCAAAATCAATAAAACCCATTCAACACCTCGACATTTAATAGTGAAACTTGCAAATTCCAAAGATGAAAAGAAAATCCTTAAAACAGTAAGAGACAAGAGATCCCTAACTTATAGGGGGAGAAATATTAGATTAACAGCAGACCTCTCCACAGAGACCTGGCAGGCCAGAAAGGGCTGGCAGGATATATTCAGGGTCCTAAATGAGAAGAACATGGAGCCAAGAATACTTTATCCAGCAAGACTGTCATTTAGGATAGAAGGAAAGATAAAGAGCTTCCAAGATAGGCAGAAACTGAAAGAATATGTGGCCACCACCCCAGCTCTGCAAGAAATATTAAGGGGGATCCTGTAAAAGAAAAAGGAAGCCCAAAGAAATCATCCACAAAAACAGGGACTGAATAGGTATTACGATAACACTAAATTCACATCTTTCAATAGTAACTCTAAACGTGAATGGGCTAAATGATCCCAGCAAAAAACACAGGTTATTGGATTGGATAAAAAAGCAAGCCCCATCTATTTGCTGTCTACAAGACTCATTTTAGACTGAAGGATGCCTCCAGCCTGAAAATGGAAGGTTGGAGAACCATTTACCATTCAAATGATCTTCAAAAGAAAGCAAGGGTAACCAT